ATTCCCTTTGAGCTAAATTATTATTGACCTGTTTACCTTACAATCCTGTGGCGAACGCCCACTTATATAGCTAGATGCCCCACCCATTCTGGCAGGCTTTGGCTGGCTTTGGCTCCACTGCCTAGCCATTGGTTCGTTTTTAATACACTGAACCAATGGCCGAGCAGTTTCACTGTGGGAATGAAAAGGCTTCAGTTCCAGTTTCAGGCTTCAGAAAAAATGATTTTTTCCCATATGCGTCTAGAAAGACGCAGTACGAGTATAGTATCGAAAGGGAACTGAAAAAGCATTTTCTTGTAAAACATACTTCCACCATCTTTTATTTATTTATATATTTATTTATTTATTACATCAGCAAGACTTATTTATGTCATAAATTTGATTGACATGGGTAATGGGTAAATGGGTAAAGACATGCACAAATTAAAATAGACACAAATTTGTTAATAGTGTAAGGAGAGACACACACTGACTGATACAGTATAGATGGAATTATATAACAGATGATATATCCATTTAACTTCTCTATGACTGTAATTACTTGATCAGTGATGACAGTGACTACCTGGGAAATATGATACTTTTGATTTATGTGAAAGAGAAAATTTAGCATGAGTACATACCTTGAAGAACTGACAGATCTTTAAATTGACAGCTTAATTTAGCATACTAAATCAAACCACTTGTGATAAGGTGCGGTAATAATGACTTCCAATAAATCTGCAATGCATATTAATGCAAAGTGGAATTTAATCTGGGCAATAATTATGGTTTTAGACTGGGATGACTGCCAGACTGAAAATAAAAGCGTGGTTTTTCATTTATTCTGACCCTGAGTGGTCAGCTAAATATCTACAGTGGATCTAAAATATGAATAGTTAATTATAACTAGTTATGGTTAATTATTCATATTTCCCCATGAGCTGATTCGCTACAATTCTCTGCTAGCTGATGAACTACAAGAAGTCTGTATCTTAAATTACATTTGGCATTTCTCTTGTAAATTTCAGCATTTGATCAATGTAACGAATCAGCTCATGGGAAATATGAATAATTAATCATAACTAGTTATAATTAATTATGAATATTTAGATCCGCT